ATACAAGCATTTGCATTAATGAGAATGAAATAAGAGAAAATTATTAGGAAAGAAATGGGACATACCAGCAGATTTTCTGGCTTGATGTCTCTGTGCACAATGTTGAGACCATGAAGGTATTTGAGGGCACTGGCTAAATTGTAGACCATTGCACTCCCATCTCGCTCTGTGTACTTTGTAGATGAAGTGATAGCATCAAACAGATCTCCTCCCTGCAGAATGGAAAGGAAAAGCTTCACTGTGATAAGGCTAAAAAAAAAATACCCCAACAAATATGTAAGATCTTCCCTTCCAAAAGACATCCTTGGATTCCTGTTAAACAGTAATGGATTACTTTGTAGAAAGATGATCTTGTCATCAAGATACTAGACTGGGACTTGGGTCATCTTCATCCAGTTCCTAACTGTACTCCAGGCTTGTGTTGTCTAAGCTGGGACAAATCACAGATCTCTGTCTTTACTTCACCCTATTGATCCTCCTACCTTTGATTACTCATTTCTATTACCAGTTTCCCTTCTCTTCACCTTATCAGTATAACACCTTCAACACAGCAAAAACCAGCCCTGATTTCCAGTAAAGCCTAAAGTAAATTAGCCCAATATTAAAAAAAACCCTAACTAACAAATCCTCAGCAATTGTAACGAACTGCAAATTTGAATTACAGCAGATATTTATAGCTGAAGAGGATAAACAAGATAAGCACAATCTTTTTCAACACAAATGAATCCATGATGCACCAAAGTGCAGAACCTGCAGGTGAATTCTGAATGTGTCAGCTGTGCAGTCTCAGTTTATAGACACCTCTTGGAATACATAACAACGTGTGAGTGAGTTCCTGATGCAGCATTTCCAGCCATTGCAACCAATTTTCTGTGGGTGTCTCTGCGATGGTTACCCTGGATACATCTGTAGGAGTGATCTCTCTGAGCTGTGGGTGGCATTCCCAGCATTTCCACACACATGGAAGAGAAGCAATGCTTCAGGAAATACAGGCCAAGATGGTGGTAAATTAAAATATAGAAAATTACTATCTTGAAACCCCCCAAAAAAGCCTCTACTATACAAAAATAATTTCTAGAAAGGAAGAGAAATGAGTAGGCTACAGAAATTAAGAATTCTACAATTCTACACACTTTTCTTAGAGGCTTCCCAGGCTGGCAAACATTCCAGAGGAGACTCCTGAATCTAACAGTGTTTCAGGCAGAAACACAAAGTGCTGCTGCTGCTACCTATCATTTGTCTCTGATATGCCAATCAAGCTGCTGTGCAGTGTTGCTGTGTATGTACAGAGCTCAGCCAAGAGAATCCACGACTCAAACTTGATGCAACTTGTGTATTAGGTTCACCAGGTGACAGCAAAATGAGTATTTTCTCTGTGCATGTAGGAAAGCAGCATCTATTCTCTGCTGAACTGGAAATAAGGGCTGTGAATGTTTGATTACAGGTGAGATGCTTTGAGTTTTCATTTTTCCTGGGTGATAATCACTTGAGTTGAAACTATTCATCCTACCTATTAAGATAAAGTCATTACAAAGAATTTACTTATTTAAAGCAAATTATTTAGTAAAGATACCAGTGAAATAAATGCAGGTGTCCTGTTAGTAAATACTTACCACCATCACCCCTGCAGGTTGTAAGCATGATGTAAAACCCGCTGTCCACTTCTCTCTAGGCTGTGCACATTGCAGAATGTGCTGGTTTGGGCTGAAGTGGAGTTGATTTTCTGCCCAGTGGCTAGTGTGGGGCTGTGTTTGGGGTTTGTGCTGAGCTCAGGGTTGATAATGCAGAGATGTGTTTGTTGTTGCTGAGCAGAGCTCACACAGAGCCAAGGCCTTTGCTGCTTTCCTCACTGCCACACTGGTGAGGGAGTTGGGGGTGCATGGGAGACTGGGAGGAGACACAGCTGGGACAGGTGACCCCAACTGACCAAAGGGATGTTCCATACCATAGGACATCATGCTCAGGATATAAGGTGGGAGGAAGGAGGAGGAAGGAGGGACATCTGGAGTGATGGTGTTTGTCTTCCCAAGTAACTATCCCATGTGATGGGCCCTGCTCTCCTGGAGATGCTGAACACCTTCCTGGAAGCAGTGAATTAATTCCTTGTTTTGCTTTGCTTGTGTGTGCAGCTTCAGGTTTCTCTATTAAACTGTCTCTACCTCAACCCATGAGTTTTTCTAGCTTTTACCCTTCCTATTCTCTTCCCCCTCCTGTTGGTGGGGAATGGGTCAGCAGCTCTGTGGTTCTTGGTTGCTACTGGGGTTAAACCACGACATAGAATTACCTCTATTCTGTGTAAATAGTCTAATTACAACTGTAAATTCCATTAATGCAATTGATTAACAGGAGTGTTTTTCTGAATAAAAATGCAGGTTGCCATTGAAATCTTGTATGTTTATGTCTCCCAAGATCTTAGCGTTCCTAGATACCACTCAGATTTCACAGCAACACAGAGAATTAGAAAAAGATAGATAAAGCCTCCTTAGTCTTACCTTCACCAGCTCCATCACCAGGTAGAGTTCTGTTGGGGTGTCCATTTCCTCTATAAGCATAATGATATTTGGATGTTTCACTCGCCGCAGAATAGACACTTCGTTTTCAATCAGGTGTTCCTGTGCAGGAGAGGATGCAAGTTTCTCTGAACAGACATGAAATTGCCAATTCACTTTTTTCCAGTGATCAGCTGATCAGTGAGAACTCTTTCTGCTGTTTATAGAGGGTTATTGTCAGATGCTATTTCACCATGTAATTTAAAATACCGTATTTCACACACATGACCCATGGGACATCTGAGGGGGGAAAAAAAGACCCCATAACATGACAGCAGTTCAGGAAGTGCAGATTATATTCTTACGTGGGTATTACAAGGTGAAATTAAGTTCAGAACCTCACTGGCCCCAAGCTGGATCATTGCAACCTGTCACCCCTCATCAATAGTTAACACATTCTTGATCCTCTCCAGCCTTCACCTCTCATTCGGTGTAGGTTACTCAAGGACAGATTACCTAGGATTTATATTCAAGGACTTTATTTTCTTTAAGAACTTGTGGAATATATACAGGAAAAAAACATTATCACTGCTTTGGTTATGGATTTTGGCTCATTTTATATGTATGTTCAGATTTACAATCTGCAAAACATGTAATGCCTCAGTTAAATCGTTGTGACTCCAACAGCTTAGCAGCACACAGATTGAGTTCAATTTCCTCTTCCGAGGAAGCCATGGCTTTCAAGAATAAATTAGTTTCAGAATGTCCTGTTTTCTAGAACATCTTAACACTTGGATAACACTGGAGAACCAAAAAAAAAAATATTAAAAAAAATCACATGTCCCTTTCCTGTGAAGGATTATTTTCATTTTCCTTTATAAGTATTGGAATACAGGTATTGTATTTAGGTTCACTTCCAAATAAGTAACAATGCTTGTGCAAAACATCAGTATCCTCACACTTCGGCAGGTAACAACCCATGTCACTGGACTGGGAATTTATTCATGTTCAAAGCACTGATTATTAGCATGCACCTCATGCATCTGTGAGCAGAGCATTACAAGGAGATGTGATCCACTGTGCATGGGCAGTGACTGAAGATCTTGTGCTACTTCACCTTCTTCTTCCAGAGTTATTTAGGGATGCATTGTGTTTTGGCCAAAGCTTTCTGTGGCTACATAACAGAAACCACATGCCACGTGTGCATCTCATTTCGTGAGGAGTACGGTGGGGCACAAATGGGTTAAACAGTCACACCTGAGAAATTCAGGTTGAAAGAGCATCAATTGTCACTCTGAACAAACATATGTCTGCTCCAAGCAAAGTGCTCTGGAGGAAAAAAAAAACAAACAACAAAGAAACACGAAGCAATTTTGTTAAACACAATGCTGAATCTCATCACCAGACAGAAGGGATCAGCCACAGCACGCTAAACCTGATGGATGGAAGGCTGTAAATTCAAAACTAGCATCAAGAGGCCAAGAGAAAACTGGAATCATATTAGAGCTTTTTCTACCTAAAGAACAGCAAACATATTCAATTTATTACATTCACTAATTATGACTAAGGCACAATAGCTTATCTGTGCTTCCTTTGTTTCAGTTGACTAAATGGCTTAGTATTTTAAATAAAGCTCAAGAATAACTAGTGTTTATTTAAAAGAAACAGTAGCAAATTTTTTAACAGGCTCCAAAATGTTGTGAAGCTACTGTTTAAAATCTGTCCTTGAAATGCTGATGAATATGTAGCTATTTATTTTCAGCTACCTCACTGTTTCGCTATGTTTTGCCAAGCAAAAAAAATAAACATTCTCAAAGTCATCGTGATGTTCTCCTGGATAGTGCAATAAATATATATCATCTCCCCTGTGAGGACAGGCTGAGGGAGTTGGGGCTGTTGAGGCTGGAGAAGAGAAGGTTGTGTGGAGACCTCAGAGCACCTTCCAGGAGCTGAAGGGGCTCCAGGGAAGCTGCAGAGGGATCTGTGTTAGGAGCTGCAGGGACAGGACAAGGGGCAATGGGC